GTTCTTAACTCAATTTTGGTTAGATTACCCGAATCTATTGTTATTTTTAACATGTAATTAGTGATTTTAAGTTGGAAAAGTTTGAAAACCCTCTTGGATATATTTGAGGATTTGAGGGTCGAAATGTTATCGGAAATTAGTACTTTTGGTATGTACTTTTGGTAGCACGTCGCAACGAGATGTGGATCGGGCTGCACGCCGCAGCGGTTACTATATGATACTGTTCTGAGAGTGATCTGAGAGAGGGACCCCGAGGGGCTGAGAGTGTTTCTGAGAGTGATCCCGAGGGGCTGGTACTGTTTTGAGATATTGCCCGAGGGGAGAACTTTTATGTGCTCATCTTGCATAATTACTTGCCTTTTTACCTGTTATACTGCGGTATTTGTGCCCGAGGGGCGGATTTTTTCTGTGCTTATCAGCACTAACTGTTTTGAAATCTTTTGTAACTGTTGAAAAGATCATTTTCAAAAGAGATTTAAACTGAGCCAATATATTTCTAAAGATTTCATAGCTTCACTGTTTTCTCAAAGGATTGTACCCTGCTTCTATACAGCATGTTGGTTGCTTTACGTGATTTCTTACTGCTCAGTTGTTATTTACCTTTATTACTCACTGAGTTGGAGTACTCACTTTACTCCCTGCACCTCGTTTGCAGTTGCAGGTATTTATTCACCCGGTAGCGGGTATTGGCTGTTTGGAGGCAGAGCTGTAGTAGTCTAGCGAGGTGTCTGCCAGCGTTCGCAGCACCGTTTCTTTCTATGTTATTCATTATTCCTGTTCAGTGTATTTCTAGACTTGTAAATGTAATTACATTCTTATATATGCTCGTGACTTGTGACACCCCGATTAGGGTTGTGTTGGGTTGTATTTTCGCTAATTAATACTATTAAGTCATATTTAAGCTGTTTAATTATGTTTAACTACTTTTGAAAAGACGAGTTGGGTTAGCTGGCTGGCCTCGTCTTCACGAGAGGCGCCATCACGACCAGTGCGGGGTTTGGGTCGTGACACAAGCCCGAGAAATGAATTTTTGTGTGAAATTGTTTTTCTGGAATTAATTAAGGAAATTGGAAATAAAATTTGATTAGGAGACTATGGTATCGGGCCCGTATTTTGGTTCCGACATCCGGTACGAGTCTTATATATGATTTAAGCACTTTCTGTAAAGTTTGGTTTAAAACGGACGTCGTTTGACGCGTTCCGGACTTGAAATGGATAATTTGATGTTTTATGAAATTTGGAAGAAATCATGGGTTTTAAGGCCTAATTTGATCTTCACGATGTTATTTTGGAGAATTGATCGCACGGATAAATCCGTAGAATGGTTTGAGGTGGTGTGTATGTTTGGTTTGGAGCCCCGAGGGCTGGGGTGAGTTTTGAGTAGGTTCCGGGATGCCTTAGACTTAAAATATCAGCTGTTACAGGTTCAGAAAATAATGCAGGCCTCTGAACCCTCTAGCGCGGTCCGCGAGAAATAGTATGCGGCCGCGGTCGCATTTGCGCGGTCCGCGGTGGGTGTTGTGCAGTCGCGGTTGGCTTTGCGCGGTCCGCGCAGGGCTAAGATCCGCAGGTCTTCAAGTAGGCCAGGCCAGCGCGGCCGCAGTCGCCTTTGCGCGGTCCACGGTGGGTGCAGCGCGGCCACGGTCCCTTTTTGCGCGGTCCGTGCTGGGACTTCAGAGGGGTATATATAGACGGGAATTTCAGTTATTTTTCACTTTTCAAAAGCCCAAAACATAAGAGGCGATTTTCCAAACAATTCTTCTTCTTCAAAACGATTGGTAAGTGATTTCTAACTCATTTTCTTCACTCCCTAACATCTTTTAACATAATTTCAACTTCAAAACAAAGATTTTAATGGGGAAATTTGGAATTTTGGGTAGAACCTAGGTTTTTTCTAAATTAGGGATTTGGACTTCAATTTGAGGTCCGATATCAAAATAATTTATATATTTGTGTTCGTGGGGGAATGGGTAAACGGGTTTTGGTTCGAACCTCGGGTTTTGACCATGTGGGCCTGGGGGCATTTTTGACCTTTTGGGGAAAAATGATAAAAAAAACTATAATTAGGTATTGGGTTCGTGTTGTTTAGCATTTATTGATGTATTGAAGTCATTATTGTATAGATACGATTGATTTGGAGCCGAATTCGAGGGGAAAGGCGGTTATTGAGGATTGAATTGGCCGTGGAAGTTTGAGGTAAGTGTTTGGTTTAACCCTAGCTTGAGGGAATAGGAGTTGAGTCTTAATTGTAACTTGTTAATTGTCGAGTACGATGTATAGGCATGGTGACGAGTATCTATACATTGGTGTCTAGCATGACCGTGAGTCCTCATTTTACGAATAGTTCGGTTGTTGTTATGCCTTCCATGCTTGATTGATGACTTCTATGTGTTGTAAAGATCTTGTGAAAGAAATTGTGATCTTTGGACCCCTTGGAGCATTGGCTCGGGTCGAAATACAAATTGTGAAGGTAAATGAGATAAGTAACTCCTTGGAGCATTGGCTCAAGTAATAACGTGAACTTTGAGATGAAAGTGAAAGAAAGAGAAGAGTTAATGATTCATTCCCTTGCCGGGACGTTGTTGGTTATTGATGTTGTACCCTTGCCGGGTTTTTATTTGTTTGCTTGTATACCCTTGCCGGGACCTCCATTCTTGTTTTACTATTCCCTTGCCCTTGTTTGTGATTGTTGATTGGGTGAGGAAGAGTGTTAAAGCATGAAGGGTGATGCCATGCATTGTTTGTTCTTGTGAGGAAAGAGTGTAAAGCACGAGGGTGATGCCGTGCCGCACGATGTGCCATTCCGTGCCTATTCTATTGATTATATGTGAGGAATGAGAGCAAAAGCACGAAGGGTGATGCCGTGCGCGTTTGTTTATATTATTGCTTGGTGAGGATGAGAGTAAAAGCACGAAGGGTGATGCCGTGCGCGTTTGTTTATATTATTGCTTGGTGAGGATAAGAGTAAAAGCACGAAGGGTGATGCCGTGCGCGTCTGTTTATATTATTGCTTGGCGAGGATGAGAGTAAAAGCACGAAGGGTGATGCCGTGCACGTTTGTTTATATTATTGCTTGGTGAGGATGAGAGTAAAAACGAAGGGTGATGCCGTACATTTGTTGATCTCTGTTCTTTATTGTTGTATGAGTTGTGCTTTTCCTTAGTGTTAGTCCATTTATATTTGAAACTGTTATCTCCCCACAGCATGCTTCCCCTCCCATAATGTTTTACTTGCTTTGTATTTCGATTCCGCTGTATATACAAAATTGCACAGGATTACGTGGTAGTCTAGTCTAGCCTCGTCACTACTTCGCCGGGGTTAGGCTAGACACTTACCAGCACATGGGGTCGGTTCTGCTGATGCTACACTCTGTGCTATTTGCACAGGTCCAGGTTTCGAGCAGCAGCAGCAGCAGCATTAGTACGGGAGCAGGCCTTCAGTCCAGCGAGACCCGAGTAGCCTTGCAGGCGTCCGCAGGCCCGGCGTCTCCCTTATTCTCTCTTTTTAGTCTGTTGCCTCTTTGTATTCGAGACAAACAGCTTATGTGCTCTTTCAGACATTTGTATTTAGTATTTCTTAGCAGTTCGTGAGTATTGTGACACCAGTCTTGGGTAGAGACTTATATTGGCTATTCCGCATTTTGATTCAGTTTTTATAATTAAGACTTCCGCTACTATTAAATTTTATTATTTTGATATTGTTGCCATAAATTGATAAAAGGGACTATGTTGTAAACGAAAGGTAGTTAGATGCGGCTTGCCTAGCTTCTACGAGTAGGCGCCATCACGACTCCCGAGGGTGGAAAAATCCGGGTCGTGACAATTCCATTGCTAATTAATGCCAAAAGGTGGATTTCTTAATTTGTGTAAAAACATCCAAAAAATCACTTATTTTGGACCGGAGGGAGTATAAATTAGGAACATACCTTAAAACTGTAATCATTCAATGTTCAATTTTTTTTTTTTTAATGCGACATGAAAAATATCTTTGTGATAGTATTGTTATATATATAGTGGATAAAATTTAATGATATGATCGTACGTAAACTTAACTCTCTAAGGTTATGCTGCTTCTCCATGCATTATATACAGTCAGAGGTATATGGTCCTCCTACATCATTGTATACATATTTATCAAATTAAAGATTAATCACCTAAAGCACTGGAACTAGGTGATTTTTTATATATATCAAATTACATATATTGTATATATATGTAATTATGTATACAATTATATATAATTATATACATATAGTTCCAGTGCTTTAGGTGATTAATCTTTAATTTGATAAATATGTATACAATTATATCTGTGGAATTACTGAACTATATATATGTTGACTTGATGGAATTTCTCTGTAAAGGCAATTTATTTAACTAGCTAGTGGGAGTTTTATGGATGAAACTGAAAAACAATAACTCATCCTTTAAAAAGAGAAAAAGTTTTCACCTATTTACTTTTTAATTGTATTAGTATTATATACGAAAAAGAAATGTTACGTGAAAGTTATGATAAAACTAATATCCTTCTAAGGTTTAGTTGGTTGGTTTGCCAAATTGCAGATTCTTGTTAAGGTATGCTTAGATATTATACTTCAAAGAAGGGCCCACATGGAAGAAACAAAAGACCTAGTGATTGAGTGAAGCATCTAACTGATAACAACAAAAAGAAAGAAAATTAACAAAATAATAAAACAGAAGAAAGGAAATGCATCCTAATGGAACAAAAATGGTAGTAATTAAGAACATTATTTCTCATCAACATGAAAATTAACACTGGCCCTAGCTTCAACCACTAGAATCAAATATAACATTCTTGTATATAAACAACATATATAGTTCTTAATAAACTTAACATACACTTAGTTACCCAGAAAAAAAAAAGGGAATATATATACAACATATATAGTTCTTAATAAACTTAACATACACTTAGTTAGCCAGAAAGAAAAGGGATATAATGATCAGAGAATTGGCTTAAGCAATTAAAAGACTAATTAATTAAATAAGTTAAACTCTAATAACCCATAGTAACAAGAAATATTGGAAAGTTAAACAAATAGTCATGATTAGGCAAACACCAATAAATTAAATTCCTGTCTCAAAGCTAACTAATTGATAATTAATCAAGCAACAGGTCCATAATCATCCAACTGAGCAGAAGCATCCAAAGGAAGCAAATTAAAATCTTGCATGAAACAACCTTCATAATCTTGAAAACCACCCAAAAAACCTGCTCCAGAATTTGCATTTCTCCATATATCTTCTTCTCCTTTAATTCTTTCTCTCAAATCTGAGGGATAATTACATCCACTCTTAATTAGCTCCATTTTGTTGGGAACAAATTGCTTGGTAGTAATTTGTGTTCTTTTCTTGATATTGCAAATGTTGTTCTTCTTCTTCTCTGATGGCTTCCCAGTGAGTCTTTGGACAAGTTCCCGAAAATTCGCCACGTCTGTCTTTATAATCTCAGGTGCAAATATGTGAATTATGCGAATTTTTGGCTTCATCCCTTTGGATTTTGTTTGTGAATTCTTGTTCATCCCTAGTACTGATGATGGACTTTTTATTGATAAATAGTTTTGTTTCTGTGTAATCACCCCAGCAGCTTCCATGTTATACATAACTATATTTTTGCAACTTTAGAGATGAGAGAAGGGAAAAGGGTTATAGTTTCTTTATGTTTCTTGGGAAGAAAGAAGAGGAATATTAGATATTGAATATGATTGAAATAGAAGGAAGTGAGGTTTATATATAAAGGGGAGGAAGCAAATTTTTAAAGGGTTTATTAAATTGTTGGACAAAGAGAAACTTTAAAGAGAAAAACAAGCTGTCCTCGTAGAGGCAAGGATTGGATGAACCCTTTTCTGACATAGTACAAAGGGGGAGAGAGTCAATAATAAAGAAAGTAGCACTCAATGGTCCCCCAATGATCATTTATGAAATGTAATTTTCACTTATGTATATCAAGTTAGATCCTTAGTACAGTTACAAGTATGACCCTTTCATTTATTACAATTCTAATTAGTAATTAATATGATATACTATTAGTACAAAAACATAGTGGCCAACTTGTTGAAATCTCAAGAAATGGCTCCCACCACTTGGGACATGTAGAATTAAAGAATACTCCCTCCGTTCCAATTTAGGTGAGTCTGTTTGATTGGGCACGGAGTTTAAGAAAAAATAAAGACTTTTAAAATTTGTGGTATTAAATAAGTCAAAAAGGGGACTAGAGTATTTGTGTGATTATAAAAGCTTCTCATTAAGGGTAAAATTGTAAGTTTAAGCTAAATTGTTTCCAAATTTAGAAAGGGGTCATTTTTTTTGGAACGGACCAAAAATGAAATAGGTTCACATAAACCGGAAAGGGAGTAGTTAATTTTTGTCCAAAATTTGAAAAAGATTGACTTTAGTGGATACATTTCTTTTATTTCCTTTATTAAGGATGGAGTTTGGCCATTATCTCATGTTTTGATTAGTTCACTAACTACAACCAAGCAATGGACAATCTAAAATTTCGTTCATTGCCTACCCGTCCTTAACCTTAAACCCTCCCCAAACACCAAGAAGAAGGGCAAATTGGGAACTAAAGAAGATGTATAGAAATTGGTAGCATGCATGTACAGAGTATAGGAATTAAGAAATGTATAAGTAGGTGATTCCAATTATTAGATAACAAGAATTCCCATAGTTTTGTAACAAATATCATGGCCTGCATTACGAGTATATATGGCCCTTTTGTAAGGACATATCCGTTTCTCAGATTCAGACATAATCTCCAAATATCGTAGTACAACATTTTATGTCTCTTCCCTATAATAATTGACACCAAATTACTGAAACCACCACTGCTTATTGCTGAACATGTTTCCAATAACCTAAAACAAATATTCCAACTTGCAGTTTTTTTAAAAAAAAGGACTGCCTTAACATGTCATTACTTTCTTTAATTAGTCTCAAGAAATGATAAATTAAAGATTCTAATAGGACCTTAAAATTAATAACTTAGAAAAGGTGAGCTGTAATAATAAGTATTATAATATCTCAGCTTCACCAGAGTATTATAATCCAGTGAAATTCTGCTGCCAATTGCGTTGGAAGTAATAGTTACTGTAGTAACTTATGGAACTATCAGAATCCTAACAATCATAATCTCCAACAATCTTGCTGTTCACTTACTAATTATATACTAGTAGTACGTACTTAATTGGAAACAGTCAAATCCTTTCTGTATAATTTTGTTTCTTTCGAAAAACTAAGAATGAACTGTTTATGATGCGGCAGGATTTAGTATAGGAGATTAATATTTGCTGGTTATCAGCCTTATGGTAAAACACTTGTGCCGGACACCATTTGGCAATCCTTTTCACTCCAGCTTGTCATTAGTAATCAAACTGAATGAAAGTGACTTTGACTGGTTAGATACATATAGCCATATTATTAGTGTATTATCTTTCTGGGTCAAAAGGGGAATACTACATACAGAATATTACTTAAACGAGGAAGCGTTCCATACTAAATTTTTTTTATTCCTAGGTTCTTGAACCTAGAAAGATTAACGATAAAGGAATCATATCCATCCCAACATAATCTTAGTTGACGGAAAAAATAGTACTTATTCGATAAAAAAATAAATTTATCAATATCTTTAGTATCACATAAATGAATAGTAATTTAAAGGTAAATCCTTCCTTACGCCATATAACCACACTTGCAAGAGTGCCACACATGCGTTAATACACATATTTGTAAAAAATCAGCTACTGCAGAGGATCCGTAAAAACGGTTTGAAGATCCTCTCGTCCGTATAATAGCCAAAAAGATAATAACCGTCCGATCTGCACGTGGTATTATATGTCAGAGAAGCGTATCTTCACTGTTGCCATCATTAAGGCCCAACTTGAGGCCCACCCAAATCTCACCTTACGTCATACTGGATTACAAAATGCGAGCCTCGTGTGCCGTCTGGGCCGGCCCACTTGAGCCTCACGTTTGATTTTCATGACTCCACGTGGCAAAGTCAGTTGCGTTCCCCAAGCGGGAGCCAGCCAATGAAATGTTGCATTTATTGTGGGGACCATTTGTGACGTGTCATCCATGACCGGCTGTTAGGGTGCACGTTTGCTGCCTAGCTGGAATATTTCGCACTTTCCTCTACCAGCAACTTGGTTCTAGTATTTTGGAACTATTCGTTCTTTGCTTTTTTACTTTTTTCAGTTTCTCCTTTGAATTTTAATCATAAAGTACGAAATTCAACAATGCATTTGTACGTACTGTTAACAATGCATTTGTATGTACTGTTAGAGTCCGAGGAGATCCAGGATTTTAAATAGATTGGTGCCCTATCACGATCCGGAATTCCCAATTCCCTATTACAATTTGCGCCTAACATCTACTTGCTAGGCAAGCCGATGTGAGATAATGGACTAGCCATTTTTTTAAATTAGAAACATAGTGTATAACGAGAAATAGAACACAATCTAATACAGCACCAACATAAGTCACGTGGTAATATCTACTCCCAAAGATCCGAAGTCACGAGTACACGAGCAACTAGAAGTTCTACAAACAGGGTCTGAAATAAATACAATTGTTTCGAAAAAAATGAACAGTTAAAGAGAGAAGGGGACTTCAAGGCCTGCGGACACCAGCAGATCTACCTCAAGTCTCCATATGCAATGATCCGAGCTGATGCACCTCACGTACCGCTAGGATCAATACCAGAATCTGCACAAGAAGTGCAGAAGTGTAGTATGAGTACAATCGACCCAATGTACTGCGTAACTGTCGACCCTAACCTCGACGAGATAGTGACGGAGATATGACAGGACACCTACGTAAATAAACATGTACAAGTATATACAAAGCAGTACCAATAACAGAGAATAACAACGTACAACGGGGAGGGGACATGCAATAAAGGAGCAAATATAAAAGCTATGACGGGTGTGAAATCACAAAGTAGCCAAGTAAATCATCGACCAATGGAAAAAAAATTCACGACATCACCCTTCGTGCTTTTACTCTCATCCTCACCATGTAGTATAAATGGTATGGCATCACCCTTCGTGCTTTTACTCTCTTCCTCACCATGTAGTAATGAATAAATGAGATAAAAGGCACGGCATCACCCTACGTGCTTTTGCTCTCTTCCTCATCATGTGATAATGAGTAAATAAAACAAATGGCACGGCATCACCCTTCGTGCTTTTACTCTCTTTCTCACCATATAATAATGATAAATGAAATAAATGGGAAGACATCACCCTTCGTACTTTTACTCACGTCCTCACCATGTGGTAGTGAACAAATGAATTCAAGAAGTAAATAATGTGGAGAATATTTTTAACGTCAAATACGATGTCAAGATACCGAGATTCAACTTCAAAAAAATATTCAACAACTATGAAATAAGCAATAATTATGAAACAAATAATCAAAGAAGTAATAACCTAATCTAAGCATAGATATCATAAGTAATGATGCAATAAAACACAAATAAACAAGTTCCACCCACATGTTTTAACCCAATTACAACGTATAAGTACTCGTCATTTCACATATACATTGTTCTCACACATTAAACACGTAGTAAATACACTAACAAGTCCTAATCCCTCTAGTAAAGATTAACAACGACACTTACCTCGCTCCGCAATAAAATCAAAGCTCAATTTCCTCTAAAATTCGCCTCTAAACCAATCGAATCTAACCAAATATAGTTCAAACAATTCAAAATAAGCTTTAGAAACTACCCATGAGTGAAAAAGATTCAATCTTTAATGACTTTGGAAATGTCAACTCCTGACTCGCTTGGTCAAAACTCGAGATTCGGACCAAAATTCAATTACCCATTCACCCCCGAGTCTGATTATGTGATTACTTTCAAAATCCGACCTCAATTTGAGGTCTAAATCTCAATTTCTCAAAATCTCCAATTTCTACCTAAATCCCTAATTTCTTCCATGAATAAACATAGATTAAAGGCTAGAATTCAACGGGTGTTTATGGAAATGGAAGAAAACGAGTTAAAATCTACTAACCTATGAAGTTGGGATAAAATTCCTCTTTAAAATCGCCTCTAGGCCGAGCTCAAATATGGAGATGGTGAAAAATGAAGAAAATCCCAACCTTGGGTTATTTAATTGACTGGGCGTCAGGCCTTTTTCGTGTTCGCGAAGAGCCTGACGCGATCGCGAAGTGCAGTGGCCAAAATGGTCTTCGTGTTTGCGATGGTGTGCCCCCCCTAACCACCGCGTTTGCGAGCCTGGGCTCGCGTTCGCGTAGAACAAGTCTCAGTCATCTCCAGAACCCCTTACACATCGTGTTCGCAAGTGAAGAGCCGTATTTACGAAAGGTTATCCCTCTAATGCTACGCGTTCGCGCATTCGCGAGCTCTTCTATGCGTTCGCGAAGAAGGAAACCTCCCCAGTACCCAGTTACCCTTCGCTATCGCGGGAGAAGATTCGCGATTGCGAAGAACAACGCACGAGATATCAAATTAGTGAAAAAACCAGCGTTCCATCTAAGTTCAAAATCAATTTGTAGCCTATCCGAAACTCGCCCGAGCCCCTCGGGCTCCAAACCAAACATGCACATAAGTGTAATAACATCATACAAACTCGCTCGCATGATCAAAACACTAAAATAACATCTAGAACCACGAATCGGACATTAAAATGTATGAAATTTTTTATAAAAACT